GCACAGCTTGTTGGCGTAGTTTCTGCTAGTGCAGCTACAACTTTCTCGCTGGCCTGTCGCGCATGATCTCCAGCCCGAGGTACTTGACGACCGGCGAAATCTCCCGCAGCTCGAAGGCAGCCTCCAGCAGCTCCTTCAGCTCTTAAGCATGCGGTGCTGCTGGTGGCGGCGAGCAGGTCGTCGACGTAGACCTGCACCCAGCAGGTCACAGTGTCCATCACCGGTTCTTGACGTAGAGCGAACGTGTCGATCAGGCTCTACTTCCAGCTGGCGCCCAGCAGCATGCCATCGAGAGCACTATACCACAACAGAGGCGACTGCTTCAGCCCGTAGAGGCTCTTCAGCAGCTTGCACATCTGACGAGTTTGATCGTCAAAGTAGTCCGGCTGGTACATGTACAGTGCCCGGTCGAGCTTACTTCGCAGGAAAACGTTATTCATCTCGAGGTGCATCAGTTGAGGTTGATGACGGCGACGATGCTGAGGAAGATCCTTAGCGTGACGTAGCTACCCACCGGCTGCGAACATCTCGTCGTAGTCAGTGCCATACACCTGCATGAAGCCCTTCACGACTAGCCTCGCCTTCTCGCGCTCGACGGTGTCCTCGATGCGGTACTTGGTCGTCAGCACCCATCGGTTCTGCATGATGTTCACCCCGCGTGGGCGTTCGACCAGCTCCCACGTGCCGTTGCTGATCAGGCTACAGATCTCCTCTTCCATGATAGTCTTTACTGCCTCGCCCTTCTAGCTCCCCAGCGCCTCCTTTACGTCATCGTCGCGATGTCCCAGCGGTGTTCGGGGTCAGCATGCACGTCGGAATCAAGCTCCCGGCAGGTCGACGTCATTTTCGGCGTCGTCGTAGAGCAGGTCATTATCGGCGTCGTCGTACATCGTGGTGAAAGCAGTCGGTGGCAAGCAGGTGTGGTATGATCAGCACTTTGGAGGCCTTCGAGTTCGACTTGAGCGTTGGAGCTCAGGCTTTGAGCTCTGCAGCTCAGAACTCTCGATTGGCACCTCCACCACGTCGCTGTCGGTGGACTACTCTCTTGCCGACAGCTACTCTTCATCGTCGACACCCCGGTAATTGACGAGCTGCTTCGATCCTTCGACCGACTGCTCTTCTCCCGACTGTCCCATCTGCTGCTCCCCTGCGACTGCACCCCTGCTGCTGCCTCCTGTTCGGCCGTCTCTCCTGTCTGCTGCTCCGCTGTCTTCACGTCCTTGTCGACGAGCTTGACGCCTTGTCGGCCGCTGCGATGCCATAGACGGGCGTCACAGACGACGCCTCAAGGCTCCCTCATCACTGGTCGCCGACACTGGAGTCGACACAGGCCTATTTGCGACTGAGGCGGGAGGAGCACGAGCAGGGGGCGGAGGGAGGACTTCCTCGACGTCCTCATCAGCAGGCTCGTCGACCCCGACGAGCTGCAGGAAAACGTCGCCGTCGAGGTGCCGTCGGCGGATGTGCCTGCGTCCGGCCCGACGCCGCCCGTACTTCGCCTTCCACATCTCCAGCGACAGTGTCTCGTAGAAGATCACCTCGACCGACGTGACCACTTTGTTGTCAGTCAAGTCCAGCACCTCCCAGCCCTTGCTTTCCTGCGACACGCCCAGGTGAAGTCCCCAGCGAGCCTTCGGCGCCAGCTTCCCCACCGCGCTGCTTCTCGGAAACCATGAACTGCACCATGCAGGCCCACACCCGCCCAGCATAAGGTACGGCTTCTTCCCGGTCAGCAGCTGGTACAGCGTTGTCCTAGCAATTGCAACGTCATCGACCGCTCCAAGCAGTTGCGCACCCAGAAGGCTTGTCGAAGAGCAAGGTGCCACCAGTGATGCTGCATGCCTATGTGCAGCAGCATCGTCCGCACCGACTCAACGACCGTGCGCATCTCCCGCTAAGCCATGCCGTTCTGCTGTGGAGTGTAAGGGTACGTCAGGTCGTGGATGATGCCCTTCCCATTGACGAAGTTGGTGAACTCCTTCCCGAGGAACTCCCCTCCTCGGTCTGAGCAGAGCATCAGCACCGACTTCTTTGTCTGCCGCTCCACCAGCAAAAGCCATTTCTGAAAACTCCCGCGGGAGCGACCGGCATTACCTGTTTGGTGTAAGGGCCAAATAACTCAAGCTATTAAGACTTTATCAAACTTAAAACCTCTCCTCGGGGTCACCTCCAAGGGTCCTTGGGTGCGTGGTACAAGACCAGCCCCTATCCTCGGGTCCGAGTTTGTAGAGAGAGGGATCAAGAGGGACTTAGTCAAAACAGCAAGAGTACCTTGAACGTCGCGCAGCATATCGTGCTGACCATCGATCGGATTAAGCTGAGAATTTGCTATATCGAAGCTCGCTCCAAGAGCTTTAAAATGAACCAAGTTGCCTTGCAAAAAGTTCTGCCATTACGAAGTTATGGCTCGGACAGCGTTTGCCTAGTGTTGGAGTGCTAGCGTACTAGCGTTGACTCTGGTAGCATTCCGCCGTCGCACCGCGTAGAAAACGAAATTCCAGCAAGGAAGGAATTCGCTTGAATCAAATTGACTATCTCCAGGTACAAACAGAGAGGAATAAATAGTTCTAGCTAGCAAGGACCTTGGGAATAAACTTGGGAACAACCAGGGATGATCCCAAAATAATTCCAAGCAACAGAACCAACCTGGCTGGACAAAACAGCAGATGGTAGGTTGGTAAACAACCTCTGGTTCTGTTTTTCGAACCTGGGAAAACAACAACCAGGTTCAGGTCCTAAAACAGAACCTGTTTGTCTTTGCCCAACCAGCCAAATGCTGGTTCCGCTGGTTTCCCCTGGCCCTGTAGCATGCGGATACAGACAAACAACATCCAACCTTTAACTAAATTGTACCTCTATAGTGCCTGCCCTGCTACACTATAGTCAACCAAAACAAAAACAGTACAATTTGGAGTTGGAAAAAACTGAATCTGCGCAATCAAGTAAGCGAACCACAAAGCTTCCATCTTGGTTCCTTTGCGAGCTCGTCCTTTTTGCTCGTACTGTTCATAGAGCGTACAATGTTATGCGAAGCGCACAATGCGTGAGTACCTGCAAATGCTTCAAGCGAAAATTGCGAAAGCAAAACAAATATACGAACATACCATCACACGCAAATGCATTCGCACGCGCATATTCGTACAAACAGACGGCAGGATGTCGTGCAATGTGAATTTGCACCCAACACAATCCTCCTTGATCGCCGCTGCAGCATCGCTCTTCTTGGACAAGGGGACATGTCCACGTGAAACGGCTCCATTCGTCCACCATGGTGAGAAGTACAGCACTCCCCCAGTCCCTTCCGTCCTCATAAGACCCACCAAGTCCATGTGCACCACCTCCAGTGGCACCTTCGGTGATCCCTCCGCACGTGGAAATGGGAACCGCGCAAACTTGTTTTGCATGCACGCCTCGCAGCTGCCATAGTGAGCGCCATCTCCTTGCAGTTGCAGCCCATGCACGCACTTCTCCTTGTGCATCACCTCCAATGTAGATACAGCCACGTGTGCGAGTCGCCTATGCCAAGTCTCCCAATCCGCTTGGCCCCAGGTAGCCGACTTCTTCACCGCCGCACTTCCTCCAATCAGCTCCTCTCCTTGCACATGCTGCTCCTTCTCCGTGACACTCTCCTCCATAGATGCCGCCACTGCCGCCTTGCCTGATTTCCACCAAGGGAGGACCGGGATCTGCCACATGCGCTTGTGGACATCTCCCTTCCACTGCAGGTCCCAAATCAGCCGCTCATCGTTGTAGGCACAGTAGCGCTCCGAGCCAATCGTCTCGGTGTTCACACCCGCATCTACCAACCGGCCCGTAGAAATCAGGTTCGCGCACAAGTCCGGCATCCACAGCACGTTCTTCAGCCCCACGAGCTCTCCATCCGCTCCCATAAACTTGGCACACCCCATGCCCATGACCTTGGCCTTGGCGCCCGTCGCGGATGTGACCGAAGAGATGGGTGCGGGCTGAATTTCATCGAGTAGGTCCGCACGAGGAGTCATATGCCAGGAGCTTCCCGACTCAATCACCCAATGGGTGAGGGGGTGTAGGAGAACCTTGGCAGCCATAGCGAGGTCGGTTGCACCTTTGTTCACGAAGAAGAAGAACCCGGCTTTCTGCTCCTCAGATTTGCCACCTTTGTCCTCATCATTCTCCTCTCCACTAGCTCCCATGACTCCCCCACTCCTCTTGCCACCATGCTGGTTGCTTGATGAAGGCGGGGTCCAATCCTTGGGTCGTTGGTAGCACTTCCGCCAATGATGTCCGTGCTTCTTGCAGTAGAAGCACACCTCTCCTTGACCCCACCGCCATCCTCCTTAGGGTTATCCTTGTTCTTGCCCTTCCACTTCTTCTTGAAGCCACTCTTTCCACCTCCAACTCCATAGCCAGCCCCCTCCTCTGAGCGCTCCACACTCCGCTGCCGCAAGTCCTCCTCATGGATGCGCGCGCGCGAATGTAATCCACGCTCCTCTGGGGCTGTTGAGAGTTGAGGTTTATCGCAAGGGCAGAAAACGACCCCGGCAGCCGTATCACGATCTCAACGCATTGCACGAGCTCCGGATACACCACACCACTGCCTTGGAGCTTCGTGAAGATGTCATGCATCTCGTCCAACACCGGTTGCATCAGCTCTCCATCAACGAACTTGATGTCGCGCAGCCGCCGCGCGAGTAGCACAATGCCGGTAGCGTGTGTTGGTGAGTGCACATCCAAAAGCTTCCTCCAAGCCTTGGGGCCACATTCTGGATCACCCAAGAGCTCCTTGATGTGGTGAAGTTGGCGTCCTCCAACCGCTTGCACCATGAGCACGTACGCGTCGAACGCTCGCTTCATCCACGCTCCCTTTCAGCTCTGCGGCCTCCGGCATCTCCTCCTTCCCCTCTACCAGATCCAATAGCTTGTATTGGGTGTACATCAGCCTCATGCGGAAGCGCCAGTGCTCATAGTCCTCCCCCATGAATTTCTCAATAGAGAAAGCCTCCACAGAATCCACGGTAGTAGGAGATGGTGTAGAAGTAGTAAGTAGCGTAGGGTTGGCTGGTTGGTGAGTCCCCATTCCTCCACCAGCAACCCCCTCATGCTCTCCAACCTCTTTATTTCTATCCGTATCGACACTAGCACCTCCGGAGTTCGTACCAACCATATTGAGGCCTTTTGAATGGTGGAAACTTGAGAAATCGTTTCGAGAGAATCCTGCCAGAACTTTTGATTCTATGAAAAAACGCCGTCACGGGCTGAATACTTCGAATAAGAACGCGATTCGACCACCAATCGAAATTTCGCAAGCACAGCCACTACAAAATGGTCTGACTCGTCAACATTGATGAAGATTTCATGACGATTCGTCGACTCAAAGTTGACTACCCGCTCTGATACCACTTGTTGTTCAGGATCCGTCACTTTGAGAGCTTACGACGAACTCATTACTAAACCAAACACAAATCCGCTCCGTAGGATTGTGCGCCTTAGGCTTAGATACCATTTCCAAGTTGAATCAGTCGTTAAGATGGTCTATAGAGTGAGATTTAAGAAGAAACGTCCAGCAGCCGCATGACTTGAATGGTGGAGGAAGTACAAGCATTAAGGCATAGAAAGTTTGAGTTGGGGACTCCAAGAGAACCATGAGAGTGAAGGGGTTCTCTATGAGCTAGGGAAGGATGGTAGAAACCTTCCTAGCAGCAAGGATGCAACCCTCATCATGAGGTCCTTGAGGTGTCACATGCAAAATCCAATCTAGTTGGATTTTACCTCGGTGTTGCAACATTTGCAACACATGCTAGAAACTTCTAGCCACCCCAATCCAAAAGTCAAAGTTGCCTTCCTAACCACCCAACCAAAGATCCCTTTATAGTCATGTCCCAATAATCGCCCACTGTAGATAACATCTCAAATTGAGATAGAATTCCAAAGCTTGGAAATCATGTAACTTGGGCGATCTTGGTCGGAATAAGGCGATCTTGGTATCGTTGGAAAGCGCTGGATTTCTCCTGCATAATCAAGCATTTAAACTTGGAGAAAAACACAGAGATGATAATATCCAACAGCCATGCACAGTGACATATGCTCATGCAAACAATGCACGCACGAATAGCACGAGCACTCGGCAGGACGTTAGGATGACATGCACTCAGAATAATGTGCATCTAACAAACTCCCCCTCAGACTAACGGACTGCATGCACACACATTTACAAGAATGCAAACCTTTATGCACCCATGCCACCGCTGCCCACACTAGTGCAATGCCATGCCACACATCTTAGCACACTTCCAATGTGCACTCTCGGGAAGTCTCTTGGTGAGAAAATCTGCCGCCTGCTTGCTTGCCATCATATGGTGAAGCTCAACAACTCCCTCCTTCACCATCTGCCTCACCCAGTGCCACTTAATTATGTGCTTGTTCAGCCCATTCAAGAAAGGATTATTGGCCATGCCAATAGCAGCCTCGCTGTCGAGAAAAGTGTGTAGGTCCCTGCTGTTCAGCTCCCATGTCCTCCAGCAGCTTCCTCAAGAGCACGATCTCCTTGATGGCATGGTACATCGCCATGTACTCTGCCTCTCCGGAAGACTGAGCAATCTCACTCTGCTTCTTGGACCTCCAGCTCACTGGTCCGCCTCCGACCATGCACACAAAGCCGCCAACTGATGACTGATCCTCCTCCTCAGAGGCCCATGTAGCGTCGGTGAAGCACGGCAACTTCTAGGTTCCAGGCGTGATCCCATCTGCTCCAATCTTTCTCAGCTGGCCACCAGCTGAAAACTGAACACCAGCAGATGCCGTTGATCTGAGGTAGCGCACCAAGCGCTTTGCCACCTCCAACTGCTCCTCAGTGGGCCGCTGCACAACTCTGGCTAGCTGGCCCACTCCAAATGAAGCATCAGGTACATACATTACAGCCGCATACATTACACTCCCAATGAGTGCTGGTACTCATTCTGCTGCTCATCCTCCTCAGCTGCCTTCTTCAATTTGAAGCCTGTAGGGAATGGTGTCATCACAGTGCGACCCCCAGTCACACCATAGCGCTCCATGACACCAAAGGTAGTGCGACTGATGCACCTTCAGCCACCTCCTCTCAACATCCCTCTCAATCTACAGCCCCAAGTAGTAGTGGACATCCCCCAGCATCTTGCACTTGAAGTTGTCCACCAGCAGCTTCTGTGCCCTCTCAATCTGCTCCAAGGAAGGTGAGAACAGCAGTATGTCGTCGACATATACCAGCAGCAAGAGCAGTTGCTCCCCCTCTCCGAGCACAAACAAGCTGTGATCCGCCTGGGACGTCGTGAAGCCTCCACTCAGCACCACCTCCTCCAACTTCTCGTACCAGCACCTGGGCGCTTGCTTAAGGCCATAGATAGCCTTCTTGAGCTTGCACACACGGCTGGTCCCATCCTCATAGCCGTTGGGCTGCACCAAGTAGATATCCTCCAGCAGTATTCCATCGAGAAACGCCGTGGTGATATCCATCTGCTTCACATGCCATCCCTTCACAGCTGCGCCAGCCATCACAGTCCTCAATGTCACTAGCTTGACAACGGGAGCAAAGATCTCCTTGGAGTCAACCTTCTCTTTTTGCTGAAACCCCTAGGTGACTAAGCGGCTCTTGAACCGCTCCAGCGCACCATCAGCTCCACTCTTCACCTTGAAGACCCACTTGCTGCTGATCGGCCGTCGCCCCTCGGGTAACTCAACAAGCTCCCTTCTCAATGAGACTGTTGAACTCCGCATCCATGGCAGCCTTCCACTCCTCCTTCTGAGGTCCACTCAGTGCCTCCTCCACTGTGGCTGGTTCTCCAGGCAAGGGTGTGAAGAAACAGAACGCCATCTCCTCATCCTCTCCCTCATCCGCCTGAACCGCCATGGCACCTTGCTTGGCACCTCCTAAATGGCTATACTTTAGCCTTGAAGGTGCTGCTGCCATGCTCTTCTCATGGGTTCCATTCTGCTGCCCATGTGGTGAAGCTCCTTTTTGCACACTCCTCTTGGTGACCTTGGCGGTTGCAGCAGGCTCGGGCTGAGATGGTGAGTCCTCACGTGCCGACTCATCCTCCAACCCCTCTTCCGCAGCAGGACCAGCACCTTGCTGCTCACCAACGCCAGTGTGGTCACTGGTCAGCTCTGACCCATGGAGTTCATCAAGGTGCAGCTGAACCTCCTCCACTGCAGACTGCTCAATCTCCTGCAGACGCAAGCCAATCTGCACCTGCTGCTGCTGCTGCCAGTCCTTGTACATGACATCCTCCACAAACTTGACGTCACGGCTGACCAGCGTCTTCTTGCTCTTGGGGTCCCACATCAGCCACCCCTTCGAGTCAGGGGCCATCCCAAGATGGACAGCCCACACAGCAGCAACTTCCAGCTTGTGCCTCTGCTCCTTAGGCACCATCACAAGCCCCATGCAGCCCCACACCCGCAGCATGTCAATGGATGGCTTCTTCCCAAGCCAACGCTCGTACGACACCCAGTGCTTGTCGCCAACATGCGTCAAGACCCTGTTCTTGACCGTGATGACATGGTGAATAGCTTCAGGCCAGAACTTCTAGGGCATCCCAGCAGCCCCCAACAAGGTCTTAGCCGCCTCGCCAATGGTCCGGTTGGCGCGCTCAGCAATGCCATTCTGCTGCAGTGTTCCACGGCAGGTCAGCTGGTGTCGGATGCCGTTCCTCTTGAGAAACTGGGTGAATTCCGCTCGAAGGAACTCTCCACCACGGTCACGCCTCAGCACCTTCACCAACCGCATCGCTTGCTGCTCCACCATCGGCAACCAATCCTCCTTGATCGCCGCTGCAGCATCGCTCTTCTTGGACAAGGGACATGTCCTCGTGAAACGGCTCCATTTGTCCACCATGATGAGGAAGTACAGCACTCTGTTGGTGTAAGGGCCTAATAAACTCAAGCTATTAAGACTTTATCAAACTTAAAACCTCTCCTCGGGGTCACCTCCAAGGGTCCTTGGGTGCCTGGTACAAGACCAGCCCCTATCCTCGGGTCCGAGTTTGTAGAGAGAGGGATCAAGAGGGACTTAGTCAAAACAGCAAGAGTACCTTGAACGTCGCACAGCGTATCGTGCAGACCGTCGATCGGATTAAGCTGAGAATTTCCTATTTCGAAGCTCACTCTAAGAGCTTCAAAATAAGCCAAGTTGCCTCGCGAAAAGTTCTGCCATTACGAAATTATGGCTCGGACAGCGTTAGCCTAGCGTTAGAGTGCTAGCGTACTAGCGTTTGACTCGGGTAGCATTCAGCCGTCGCACCGCGTAGAAAGGAAATTCCAGCAAGGAAGGAATTCGCTTGAATCAATTTCACTTTATTCAGGTACAAACAGAGAAGGAATAAATAGCTCTAGCTAGCAAGGACCTTGGGAATCAACCTGGGAACAACCAGGGATGATCCCAAATAATTCCAAACAACAGAACCAACCTGGCTGGACCAAATAGCAGGTGTTAGGTTGGTGAACAACCTCTGGTTCTGTTTTTCCAACCTGGGAAAACAACAACCAGGTTCAGGTTCTAAAAACAGAACCTGTTTTGTCTTTGCCCAACCAGCCAAATGCTGGTTCCGCTGGTTTCCCCTGGCCCTGTAGCATGCAGATACAGACAAACAACATCCAACCTTCACCTAAATTGTACCCCTATAGTGCCTGCCCTGCTACACTATAGTCAACCAAACAAAACAGTACAATTTCGAGTTGGATAGAACTGAATCTGCGCAATCAAGTAAGCCGAACCACAAAGCTTCCATCTTGGGTTCCTTTGCGAGCTCGTCCTTTCTGCTTGTACTGTTCATAGCGCGTACAATGTTATGCTGAAGCACATATTGTGCGAGTACCTGCAAATGCTTCAAGCGAAAATTGCGAAAGCAAACAAACACACGAACATACCATTCACACGCAAATGCATTCGCACACGCATACTCG